TGAAGGCAAGTGAGCCAGGTGTGCTGGTGCGTATCTGTATTCTGGGAGGCGGAGGCAGAAGGATTGAAAATAAAATATATATATATATATATGGGGAGTGGGGAGTGTGAGTGAGAGAGAGCAGGTCCTACTCAAGAATGAAGAAGCCAGGCAGTGTAGTGCAAGCCTGTAATCCCAGCACTCTGGGAAGTTGAGTCAGGATTACAAGTTAATGCCCAGCCTGGGCAATTTAGCAAGACCCTTTCTCAAAATAATTTTTAATTGGGCATGGTGGCTCTGGAGCCTCCAGCTCTGGTGACAGGGATGTGTCTGGGAGGGAACACTTGTCAGGCAAACCAAGCACTGAGTTCAGCCTGGGCCATCAAGCTGCCATAGGGTATCCAGGAAGAGGTGTCTGAGACCAGCCTGGGCTACATAATGAGACTGTGTCCAAAAGCAATGTTATCGCCACCACAATTCCATTTTGGCTTTGAATGAGGTCACTTACCCGCTGACTTAAACTCAGTCGTCATTCTCCCCTAAAGTGACAGATTGAATTTGGTGACTCATTAATCCTCTCTAACAGTTGTGCCTCAGTTTCCTCTGCTTTTCATCAGTTCATCTAGTTCTGGTGCTGCCCAGAAGAGGAACACATGTCACCTTTTGAACTGCAGCCTCTCCTGAAAGTTCACAATAAATGTCCTTAGCAGCAGGCAGGATCAACTCTTTTACCAATAGTAAAGGCTTCTTAGCTTTAGCAGTGTGGGTAGCCACTAAGAATGATGCTCTCAGTGCAGACTCATTTGATGAAGTGGTGGTCTTCAGTCGCTGCTTCTGTTCATGTTCACATTGTCTTTTTTTTTTGATACTGGGGATCAAACTCGGGACCTTGCGGACTGGAACCACTGAGCTAAATCCCTGGCCCCGCATTGTCTTTTAATACAGAATGCTTGGTCTCCATAAGGTGAAGCAGTTTTGAAGGCTTCATGGCGTCATTGGTCCCCACATATTACACAAAGTGGGCTTGGGAAATGTGAATCATCTGTTGTAATGAACCCATAATTTAAATGGGACTCTCGGGGCCAGGGATTTAGCTCAGTGGTGCCACCACCTGCCTTGCAATCACAAGATCCTGAGTTTGATCCCTGGTACAAAAAAAAGAGAGAGACTCTTGTTCTTTTTTGCAGCTTTCTTTTTGTTGGCAATCTTAGCATCTTCTGCTTAGCATCATTGGGTCGTCCCCCGTGTCAAGGAAGCTCTTCAATGACATTTGTGTTTCATTTTGGTGAGGGCTAGCTTGTGGGATTACAAAAAATGTCAATCAAGACAAAGGAGGAGTACAGGAAAGAGGCATGGAGGGAAGTGGTTAAGAAAATAATAGGCAAGCCACATGCAGACTAAAATAAGTGTTGGGTTCTGACTTCAAGCCTGCCACCAGATGTAGCTTAATTGTCACTTGCCACTCACTGAGAGGGTTTTGATGTGAGCCTGCAAGCACTTGATCTATTATGGTCTCTGCTAATGTTGATCTGTATTTTCTGCTGCTCCCCAGCACTAGCGTCACTGTCTCAGCTCCACTTATCATCAGGCATGAGATTCTCATAAGCTGCACACAACCTAGACCCTGCCCATGTACAGTTGACAGTGGGGTTCATGCTTGCGTAAGACTCTAATCTCCCCCCACCCACTGCTGATCTGACAGGAGGCGGAGCTCAGGGCGTACTGTGAATGATGACTAATGGCTGTAAATACAGATGAAGCTGCACTCAGTTGCTCGCCTCTCACCTGCTGTGTGGCCCGATTGCTAAAGGCCATGCCTCCACGACCCACCTGGACATACCCAAGAGTGCTTTACTAATCTGTTAGGTATTTCTTCGTCCAGTGAGGTAGATGTGTCAGGGTTAACAGTTAACACCAGGTGAGGGGATGTGAGTGGTGTTGAGCAGTCAGCTGGCCAGGCTGGGGTGGCTTGCAGGCAAGTGAGCCAGGTGTGCTGGTGCGTATCTGTATTCTGGGAGGCGGAGGCAGAAGGATTGCAAGTTCAAGCATGAACCCGGCAATTTACTGATTTAGTGAGACCTGTCTCAAAATTTAAAAGAAGATGTGGCCCTCTCCATCTTTTCTGCTGTGCCTCTGCAGGGTGATCCCAGTGCTCTAGGTAGCATCCCCAGGGAGGAGCCACTGAGTGGAGGTGTGGGGACTCAGGCAGCAGGGCTGCAGACCTCTCTTCATGCACAGCTGCTGTTCTTGGCCTTGTCTCAGACCCCAGTGAGCACCAGAGTCACCAGAGGTCCCCGGGCCCAGGTGTCCAGACATGGTAACATTCCCATTGTGCCCTCTTGAGTGGGTGTGTTTCTGACAAGTCCCCAGGCAGCAGTGTGCCAGCAGGGCTCACACTGAGACCTGCTGTTCTGATCCAGTGGCTCTCCAGCGGAGTGGGTGGTTGGGGACGCAATGTGGGAAGGAATCAGGTGCATGTATGAAAATGCCACAGCCACTGTCACCTCCACCCTCTGCCAGGCCATCTGCCATGGTCTGTACTACAGGGGGGGTTCCTCTGGGTGGAGGTCCGGGGCCCAATCTGTGCTTCCTCCTCAGGCCTTGCTCTGTCCATTGTCCTGTCCACTTTGTGCCTCACTCTTCCCCACTCACTTATAAACATAGTCAAGTGTTTTCCACCCTAAAAACCCAGTCTCCTGTCCCTTCCAACTCTAGCTGCCCTGTTCCTCAGCTAAGTGTCAGTTTCCTTTCTGCTTCCATGCTCCATAGCTCTCAGTCTAGCTTCCACCCTCCTCACTCTGCTCAGTGACCTAATTCCAAAATCTGATGGGCACTGGCCACCAGCTCTCCCAGGACTTCCTGAGTTCTCTTGACCAGAGTTCCTCTCCTGCCCACTACGTGTTGGTCTGCTGCATTCATGGGTGGCACTGAGTGTAGATTTTGTCCAGATCATTGGCTCTGCTGGGTCCCACTGAACACCTCTTCCTGGGTACCCTATGGCAGATTCATGGTCCAGGCTGAGCTTGGTGCCTGGTCTGCCTCTCTGACCAGTGCCATTGCCCCCACCTCTGACACATCCCTATCACCACAGCTAGGGGCTGCAGAGCTCTGAGCCACTTCCCTGCCTCCTCCTCGCTGCTCCCACGCATGTCCACCTTGAAAGTCTGGTCTCTCTGCTGCTGTCCTGAAATGTCCCCCTTCCTCTGTCCCCTCTGCTGACTCTCAACCTGGGTCTGTCACTTCCTCCTAGACTCTAGTAGTATTCTGGCCAGTGCCCAGCTTCTGTCCTTTTGCTCCCCTGCCTCAGAACCATGTTTCAGGACAGGAAGCCCTAACTGAATCCTTTCTTCCCTCTCAGATAACACAATCTCCTGTGACCCTGACCCTCACCTGCCCTTCAGCCATGCACAGCCCCAAGGTCGCTGGGTAGCTGCCCAACATCACTTCCTGCAGTCCTGGAAAGTGCTGGGCCGGGGATTTAGCTCAGTGGTTCCACTGCCTGCCTCGCAAGAGCAAGGACCCAAGTTCAATCCCTGATACCAAAAAAGAAAAGGAGTAGGAAAGTGTTCCAGGTGTCAGGCCACCTCTGCCAGGGGTGGCTGGTAATGTACTGGCCCTCAGCGACTCCAACCCGAGGTGTCCTTGTGGCTGTCTGGTTGCTTCCTCCAGAAAAACTGCCACGTGTGTTCTTGCTTTACAAGAATTGATTGAGGTCGGGTCAGGTTGGACGAAGGTTTAATCAGGAAGGCCACATTGGAGTTCCAGGCCTGGGTGATGACCATGTCTTCTCCAAGTCAACATTATGCATTTGAGGTGATTATGTCACCTCTCCCTGCTTTATTCTGTAAAATGCGAATGCTGTGGCTGACCACCGACACCCTCATGCTGTGTCTTGCATGCTTGTTCTCTTGGTTCATGCTTTGTTAGGAAAGTGTCAATTAAAGGGCAGTGCTAGGACTCTGCTACTCAATGTCTTTTAGGTGTTGGGTGAGAATTATAGTCACAAAACTACTGTCCCTTACACAGATTCTAAGTTTTTAGGTAGCTTCTTACCATGGTTGGGCCACACTTTGAGTCTAAGCACCATTTTATTTTAGTTCATCCGTACATGGGTGTGGTATATTTGAATGAGTGTGAGCCTTCATCATCCCATCCTAAGCATTAGTGACAAGTGTTATTAAAATGGTGTCCTTTTTTTAGCCGAGAATTTAGCTCAGTGGCATAGCACCTGCCTGGCAACCACAAGGTCCTGAGTTTGATTCCCAGTACAAAAGAAAAATGCACTGTTTTTTCAGTAGTGCTAAGTCCCCTTGAAACCAGGCTCCTCACACCGAGCGACATCCCCATCCCTTTTTACTTTTGGAGAGAGGGTTGCACGAGGTCACGTAAGTTGCCCCAGCCTCTCAGAGTGCTGGGGTTATAGATGTGTCTCACCCTGCCTTAGCCATGGCTTAACTATTTTTTTTTCTACGAAGTGGGGCTTAAACTCAAGATCCTCCAGCCTCAGCCTCCTGAGTACCTGAGATTATAAATGTGTGCCACCATGCTCAACTCTTGTTTTGCCCTTTAAATGTCTGACTGCCATTTTCTAGCTTATATAGCGGGCAACATGAGATGGT